GAAAGAGAAATTGTGTATGCCTACGAATTGTTTCTACTTTGCAACGTAAGGGAACATACAACGGACAAATCCCATAGTTGTGAGGCCCTCCCGAATGAGCTGTTGATTTTGCGGCCGCTGCCGCTGTCAGTGACAGGTTGCATCTCTAACCCGCGGCTCGAACGAGTTGACCCCCGAAGAAGCCAAGCAGCACGAATTCATGAAAACTATCAGTTCTTAGTTGCGATAATCGAGTTTCTATCTTTATGCGAGTCGAGAAACAAGGGAATCAAATAAACCCATTAGTGTGGTGTGTCATGCATCAATTTATCTCTCACAAGGAAGGTCTTTGAAGGCGTTGAATGCTTTTTGAAAATGGTTCTTTGCATGAAGTAGGGGCATGAGCACTGAGTACAGAACTATTCTCCATTTCCGCTAAATGGCCTTCTGAATGCCAGAAAAGGAGTGAAAATGATTCTGTCAGAAATTGCCGTTTTAACCCACTAAGCGTCGTTTGTTTCATTCACGGCGTCGACGGTCCGCATAGTGGAAGGCGCCACTGGATCGCACATTGAAAATAACGTGAACTGTAGCCAAAAAAGGGAGCCACATATGAAACATGTTGAAAAGTGCGAGGAAGTTTCATATGAGCTGTCCACGGTTGAGCTGCTGGCAGCGACGGATGGTGAGGCGGATAGCGATGTGGACTTCGAGCTGGGACGGCTAGGCTAGGTTGATTGTTCGGATCCTCGAAACGCTGCCGTTTTTGCATTTTATGTTGCCACCTCCGGATTGGCTCCATATTGCACCAGGGCCAAAGCAACTGGTCATGGTCGTGACCAGGACCAGCGATAACCTCTACAAGTTGTATTGTTTTACTGATATTGACTGATCGTGAGACGAATTGTACCGCCAACACGGCGCGTACTGGCGTAGAGTACGTAGGCGTAGAGGATAAAGATTAAAGGCACAGTTCACGATGATTTTGGGTAATCCAGATTATGATGAAAAATGGAAGACAAGATCAAAACTAGTGCGACTGAGGTGAAGAAACTGCGTGCATCAGTGTCTCCAAAGTGAAAAAAGGCTTCGAAAAACCGTTAAAAAGGGGGCTGGACAAGAATGAAACCAGAAAAATGAAGAAGAGTGGGGCGTCCGGACGAGCTAAACAGTGTGTTTCACGCGCGCGTGTGGGTCCAGATGCGAATAACAGACAATGGTAAGCAAAAATTCATTCACTTATAAGCATAAATAAACAAAAAAGCCATAGTAACAGCAAAAGTAGCTCACTTTTTCAGCCTCTAGGAGTAGGAAATTGAATAAGGGATCGCGGCAGCAAAAAGAAAAACAGAGGAAAAAAGAATGGGAGAAAAATACTGCCTCATCACTCGGCGATTGGCTGATTGTGCGTGGGTCCTAGAACGAATAATAGCAATCTGTTTTGTCTCGACACTCGTCTAACGTGACACCGATCGAGGGGCGGGAAAGCGAACTACGGCAGCAGCGGGGCTTTCACTATGCCCTAAGCGCCGAGATTGTGGGGGCGAGAGGGTCGCTTCTACCACCCATGGAGGGCGGTGAGTATTCCTGAAGGAAAAACTCAGAAAACTTTTTAATCGTGAACCGTGCCTTTAATGACTTCATTTCGATGGAATTCCCATATATATGGCCTATATTGGCGAGTCAGAATAAATGGGTAAGCGGTCGTCTCTATGGCACCATCTCCTTATCCCTTACACTACCCAGACTAGGTTTCTCTTCGGCACTCACAAGCAAAATGAAGTAAGCCTGTCTTTCAGGTTATGGTTCAAAAGCCATTGGTAAGGCCAGGGCAAACGGAGTTTAGGCAGTGTAAGGGATATGAAGCACGGTGCCAGAAACGTCCAAGTTCGCGACCGCGCATCGTCCAATGCCGGAGTATAGTCCACCGGGCCGCCCGGCTAACACGGGCTTCCCTCCTTCTTATGTACATCATTTGGAATAAATGATATTTTTCGGAGCACGAAATTCGATAGAGCGATAAGGCATGCAAGCGATATTTAAAAAGTGCCGATGCCTATGCGTTTGATTAGAAGTCTCCATCTGTTGCTGTTCATCTTTAAAAAAAAACGACCCATCGAAGATTCAACTGGTAGGGCAACCAAAGCTCTGAATGGTGCTTACAAATGTTCTCGAGCCATCAGATGTCTTTATGGATGTAGCTCCTTTTCCCTACGAATATATCATTGAATGAGAATCCAGGATTATTAGCCGTCGGAAAAGTTTTGCCAAGAGTGATATCGAAGCCAAGAGAAATAGCAAAACATAACAAATTCGTCGGATTTGATTGGTAAATGGCTTTCTAAGGCCTCTTCCATCGTCAGTGTTCCCATCCTGCCTCCTCTACTACCATAGGGAACCCCGCCTCCTGTGGGCGGAGTCTGGCCCTGCCACCCACCATAAGTTTCCCCATCTTGCCGACTGTACTTTTACCAAATTTGAACGTCCCAGGCCCACGGGGCCAGGTGTTATGAATTTCTGTTCAAAGCACGCCCATTGTGGGCGGAGTCCGGTCCTGCCACCTACGGTAAGTGTTCCTATTCTGCCCTCAGTACCCCTACCAAGCTTGAACGCCTTAGACAATTTTCGCGCAAATCAGCCTCCCTGTGGGCGGTGTCCAGTCCTTCCACCAATCATAAGTGCTCCCATCCTGTCGCCTGTACTCCTTCCAAATTTGAACGTTCTAGGCCCACGGAGACAGAAGTTATGAATTTCTGCTCAAACCTCGCCCATTATGGGCGGAGTCTGGTTTTGCTACCCACGATGAGTGTTCTCATCCCTCCGCCTGTACTCCTTTCATCTTCAAACTTTCTAGGTCCACGGGGGACAGGCTTTATGAATTTCCCCTCATACATTCATTTCACACAAACCCCGCCCCCTGTGGGCGGGATCCGGTCCTGCCACCCACGATATGTGTTACAATAGTGTTACTAGCACACCATTCCGTCGTTCTATAGTTCGTACGACAAACTACTATTACTGATTATATGTATGAAGTATGTCATGTTGTACACCTTGGAAAACAGAAGCAGTACATAGTCTTATCAGTAGCTATCAAAAAGTGAAAAGATTATCAAGAATTCCTAGGCGACCCTAGTCCATTGTTTTCACTAACTCAATGTATGGTGGTAGTATGTATTATATGACGCGTTCCCGTCCGAAAGCATTCAAAAATGGATGGCTAACCATACTACACACATTAAGTCATTGCTGCCTGCTATCTTATCTTTGTAAACAGTTTTGCTATCTCTACTTATGGGTGGCCGGAACGATTCCGCTCTAGGATCCATTCACTTAACACTGGCAATGATATTTAACAGTTGTAAATAGATTGAAAAGCTCAGGAGGTGTTCTGAAATAATTTTTTCGAAGTGCAGTTAGTTTAACTCAGGTTACTGTTATCACTGCTGTTCAACTCGGGTAACTATTATCACTGCTGATACTTGGAAGTTTTCAATTTCATGAAGACCGCTCTAAACTAGTCCATCGGATGAAGTGAAGTGTCATAGGAGTTAAAAGATATTCTTTGAAAAGTAATGTTCATTCCGTAAAAAGCAGATACCTATGATGCTTCCAGAATACAGTACGCTCCAGCAGCTGTACTGTTCTCCAAATAGGGATTACCTTGCAACCACGAAAAACCTATTCCAGTTTTTATATGCACGAGTAAGGCTTCCTTCTTCATTGAAACATGTCCGAAGAAAGAAATAAACCAGTTGTGAAGACAAAAGGCTGCTAGAGTTACACTAGATCTCAGCTATAATAACATCTGGTATTAGGTTCAGAGATCGCGAAGTTGAAATGCTAGGGAAGTCCACTGACGGCAGCTTCAAAGCGCAACATTCATACGCTACAGCATACGCGTCAGGCACTTGCTTTGGCCCTGGTGCAATATGAAGCCAATCTGGAGGTGGCAGCATAAAATGCAAAAGCGGCAGCGCTTCGGGGATCCGAACCATCAACCTAGCCTAGCCGTCCCAGCTCGAAGTCCACATCGCTATTCGCCACATCATCCGTCGCTGCCAGCAGCTCAACCGTGGACAGCACAACATGAATATGAAACTTCCCCGCAATTTTCAACATGTTTGAACATAAGGCTCCTTTTCTTGGCTACCGTTCACGTAATTTCCAATGCACGGTTCACTGGGCCCTGCTACTGTGCGGACGTCGACGCCATGAATGAAACAAACGACGCTTAGTGGGTCAAACCACCTCACCTGTCACCTGTTTCTCGCTAACCGTTCTGTTAAACAATTTGAAAAAAACCGCAATTTTTGACAAAATCATTTTTACTCCTTTTTTGGCATGTAGAAGGCTATTCAGTGGAAATGGACCATAGTTCTGTACTCAGTGCTCATGTCCATACATCATGCAAAAAACCATTTTCAAAAAGCGTCCCATGTCCTGAAAGACCTTCCTTGTCAGCGCTCACTCATGAAAATTTTGCAAGAGATATTTAACAAAGGAGAACCTTTTAACTAAGAAGCAAGGGCCTAGAGGCCACTCAATTAAGTACTGTTGGTTGGCAACATCCGAGCCTCATCGGAAGGAAATAAGTGCGAACTTCTCTTTCCTCTTCGCCACCGCCCAATTTAGCGACTACGTTCTTGCCACGTTCTAGCCACGAAACTTCGCAGTTTCCGCTTGCGAAGCGAATATATCAACAAGAAAAACCCGATACTGTTGGTGCGCTTTATCATCGCGCCGATACTGCGGACTGATGTCGTCGCTCCACTGCTGCAGTGCCATTCAGAAAAGATTGCGGCTTGGAACCGTTTCCGCGAAACTGTCATCGTGCGCAAACTAATGAGAGGATACTTCACTACATGCACTTTTCGTGGAGAATCTTCGAGGATGCTTTACATCTACTACGTGGTTCATGAAATACCGACCAGAAAACCAAACTTTTAGCGTCCTCAAAATTCTTACAGGATTTGCTAGCATACTTTACAATCAGGTTCAAATGCTGAAGGCAGGCGAATTCACTGACAATTTTTAAACAGAACTATAGCACCGACAAGTTTTCGAGCGACAGCTCGCTCCTCTGCTTCTCTCCTCTCCCGGTTTCTGACTTCTTGGTTTCTTCTTTCCTTCTCCTTCAGTTCAGCAAGACTGCGCTCGTCTTCGAGCCTAAAAATTATTGCACTACTTTCAAAACTTGAAGGGAATTGGATGAATACCTTTCCATTTCACGCCGCTCATTTGCCTTCCTCTCCATTTCGGCAATCTCGATCGCCTTCCTATCCAACTCCTCTCTTTCCCGTTCTCTTTCTAGATCCACTTCGCGTTGCAATTTACGAACTGTCGCAGCTCTTTCTAGCTCGTAAGCAGTGAGTTTTTCTTTCTCTTCCTGCTCCCTTCGTTTTCTTTCCCTTTCTGCAGCTGCTCTTCTTTCTGCGTCCCTCCTGGCTTTCTCCCGCACCTCCTCTTCCTGCAACTTGGTTTCCCTCTGTATATCTTCTGAACGCTCACGTTCACGTTGCTTCTTCTGTCTGTGCTGAGCCTCAAACAACTCCCTCTCTCTTCTTTCATCCTCGAGACGCTCTTTTTCTCTTTTTTCTGCCTCTGCTCGTTCTATCTCTACTCGTTGTTGTTCCCTTCGAATGCGCTCTAAACGCTCCTTCTCTTCCCGTTCCTGAATTTTCCGCAGCCGCTCCCGCTCATCTGCTCGCCTTTGTATATCAGCGAGAAGTTTTGCCTCTCGACGTTCTTCTTCTCGCCGACGAGCTTCTCGCTCTTCATCAGCCAGTCTCTGTTTTTCCCGTTCGACAGCTTCTCGTATTTGGACTTCGAGCAGTTCTCGTTCCTTGAGTTCAAGCTGTTTTCGCTCTCTTTCCAATCGCTCGAGCTCCTCCCGTTCCTGTCGCAACCTCTCCTTCTCCGCTCGCTCTTTGTCTCGTTCTCGTTGTTCCCATTCAATACGTTCTCGCCTGATCCTTTCAATTCGCTCAAGCTCGATCTTTTCTCTTTCGATACGATCCCTTTCAATCCTCTCCAGTTCAAGACGTTCCTTCTCTTTACGTTCCTTCTCAATCCTTTCGCGTTCTAATTGCTCTTTTTCTCTTTCGAGACGGATGCGTTCCAACCTTTCAGCTTCTGTCTTTTCACGTTTAATTCGATCATTTTCTAGTTGTCTTCTTCGCGCTAGTTCTTCTTCTTCCAAACCGCGACGTTCGCTCTCCCTCCTTTCCCAGTCGGCACGCCTTTGCAACTCCACTATTTCTCGTTCTGAACGATCCCTCTCAATGCGCTCCTTTTCCATCCGCTCCCGTTCGAGGAGCGAATTTTGGAGGTATTTTCGCTTTTGCTCACGATCCAGCCTAATATGTTCGAGGATCTAAATTCAGAGAGATTCGAAAAACAAATCCTATGACTTCGTGATTGAGATGTTAAATTCATACCTCCAGTTCACGCATTTCCCAAGCACGACGGCTTTCCTCATCTCTTCGCCGCCTTTCTTCCTCTTCCTTTTTTCTTTTTTCCTGTTGGTCACGGATCAATCGCTCCTGCTCTTCAATATCAAAGTGATATTTGATCTTGAAATCGACAGTCCTTTCTTCACGGACGTTCGGATTAGCTACCGTATCGTACACTTCTATTGGTGACGAACGCCCTAGAGGTGCCTGAAATCCGAACTCCCTTCATACATAGATAGACTCATTTGCGTAAACGTTCTCAGTCTACAAGACGCATTATGGTACACAAAGGTTTTTGAGAAAAATTACAGCATAAAAAATGAAATGCATGTTCATCATTTAAGAGTTTAGATTTTACTACATCGGAGATCTATAAGAATACTTCTGCAAAGTGAACGCGCAATGACTTAGATGAACTCATAAATAGAAAGCTCACCGCCTGTGATAAAGCTTCTGAACTTCTCGTAATTATAGTTCTTGTCATCACCTCTCTTCTGTAGTATTCGTCCTATAGAATGAGTGGAAATGCGTCATGAACAGTAGCGGAATGCACACTACTATTAGATTCGGATAGATTTGCTTACTTGAACGTCTCTTTTATCATATAAGCTGGTAGAGGGCATCTTATACACGGACACAGCAGTTGATGTGATCGACGGCATTCGATGCACAGGAATTTCTCGCACTATGGCACTGGGAGGCACTTGCTCAGAGAGCACGTTCTCACGGGACGAACAAACCGACTGAAAGTGATTTTGCGAGTTAGTGTTATTTTGTGGCATAATCTCGACCAACATCCCTAAAGAAACACGAATGTAGCACAGAAGAAGCAATAAGCATGTAGAGGACTCGAAAGAATTGTTCTTTAACCCTTTGGCACCCACCGGTGGGCGCCACTATATCTGGTACATCGGCACCCAATTTCGGGTGCCACCATACTTTCTTGTTACTTACCAATTGCTTAATTCAGTAAGCCAGTGAAAGAATTTTTTCTGGGACAGTGCCACCCACCGGTGGGTGACAGTCGCGCGCGTAATGAGGGGAACCTGGTCCCATGGGCGCGTCACGTCGAAATCCGCATTGTCGTCAAAGGGTTAACCAGGATAGTGCCATATACACGTGTGTATGTACCCGTTTCTGTACTGAAACACCACAGTCTCAATTGGCTACGAGTTCGATAGGAGCAATGAGTAGAAACGTATAGTGTAGAAGTAAGCCTAAGTCATTAATAAAGCAAATACGTATGTGGGTTGCGGCACCCGGAGAAATTTAAGGACTGGTGCAAAAAATGATTACTATATTCTCATAGATTCGCAGTAAAAGCTACGTAAAGGCTCAAACTACAGAGAACTGTACAGAACTGCGTGTGAGATAAGAAAAACGTTCTTTTTTTTGAATTTCCACTCATCTGTGATATCATACAACATTTACAGAGGCGAAGTAGTTGTTTGATATTAGGGCATCTCGTATTTGAAAGGTCAATGAACGCTAGCCGGCTGATCAGTTCGGTCATTTCACGCTTCTCACGGAACGTTACAATACTTCAGGCTAAATTCAGCACATTGAAGAAATTATTCATCAGCTACTATTTAGCCTGGTGGGCAAGTGATGACTATAGAAAAGAAGCCTTGCTCGAAACCTTTGCCTCCGCTCTATAATACTTCTGCACCTACCCAACCGCTTCGACGAAG